ATAGCGTCAATGACTTTATTTCCGAATTTTTGTTGACTTTATTTCGCTTTTGAAAAGGTAATAATGTCAATTGACTTTATTTCGCACCAGGGTGGGCCTTATTTCCATTGACCTTATTACCTGTCACCACTGATAAAAATAAAATATTTCCAACAAACAACAAAAAATATAATCGATAATCGCATGAGGCTATTACCTGAAAATTTTAAAATGCACTTAGTGGCATTCTGCTACTATGATAGCACGGAGACTGCATCACTTCCCATCAAAAAAAAAAAATTGGTACTGTTTTCCACTGGAATTATAAAATCTATTACAATTAAGACTTCCACCAAAATACCTCGCAAAAATCTTAAGATTTACGTTGTTGTTGTTGTTGTAGCGGCTACTAAGCCCCGTTCGGGGCGGTTCATCCATCAACATTGTCGTCTATTTCAGCTAGGGGGAGGCCCAGGAAGTGTGCTACTTCCAGAGGGGCTGTCCATAGGGACAGGGGCGTTAGCTGAGTGGGATTCTCAGGGCATGTGAAGAGGTGCCGGGAGTCATGTGGCGACTCTCCACATGCCGGGCATTGGTTGGGCACATCCTCGTTGATTCTGCTCAGGTAGCTGTTGAGCCTGCTGCAATAGCCAGAGCGAAGTTGGTCTATTGTAGTGCGGGTCTCCCGAGGCAGACAAAGTTCTGTCCCGTCCACGTCCGGTGTTTGTGTGCCTAGAACAGCATTCACAGGGCGGGAGTCTACATAACTTGAGACTGATTCACTGTGAATGCCGTTCAGGGCCTGTCGGTAGGTTGACGGGCCAGAGGTTGTTTAATATACCTCTGGACTTCGTCTGTCAATTCGTAAAGATGCCTCCTGAATTTTAGGAAAATTTTTCTATGAAATCATAATAATGAGACTTTTGATGCTATTTTTGACCTTTTTTTAAAGAGTGGTTTAAGAAAAACTTGAATAACCCAGCCAAAACCTAACCAATTTAGACTTATGAGGTATCGTTAGTAAGGTATTTTCTCTCCCTTTTAATTTCTTTGCGAATAATCTCATTCAAAGTATGAAAGAGGAAGGTAAGATAAACGTGTGACATTCCATGTTGAATTAAGATTTGTTGGTATTTGATAAAAAAAAAAAAAATTGAGACGTGAATGAGTTTTTTTTTTTGCAAAGAAATAAAAAGGGTGCGAAAATACCTCTCCACTGATACCTCAAAGTCTATGTCGGTAAAGCAGTTATTCTAGTTTTTCTTACACAAATCTTTGAAAAAAGTTAAAAAGCAGCATCAAAAATCTCATTATTATGATTCCGTAGAATTTTTTTTTTTAATATTTGTATGCAAACTTTTTAAGCTTAAAATGTTAAGTCATTTGGGGGGATTTTTTCCAGAAAATCCTGTAAGAAACTTACATTTTTAGAGTTATTTTCGAACCGGTCCAGCTCACGAAAATCTTAATATTTTCCCGCAATATTTGGATAGAAGTCTTAAAATATGCTAGGTTTTGTAATCCCGCCGGAAAAACCGCAACTTTTTCTGTGGCGATGCAGTCTAATGTACAGTAGTCGAAAAAATTATAGCTGCACCAAATTTTCACAAATTTTAAAGTATTAAGTTTCTTCTTATTTAATTTTGGTTAGTTTTTTATAGTTTATTCTTTAACAACATCCGTCTAAACACAAGTTTAAAGGCAGTGTCACACGATTGGGTATTTGCCAAAATTTGGTGCAAATCGTATGTGAATACCCAAATGTTTTTCTTTATCCCAATCACGAAAATTAATTTGTTGAAATTTTTCAATAGAACATCGCTGTATTGTACCAATCCTTTGACTACAAAAAAAAAATTCCCATTTTTTTATTTTTACCAATAGCCCAATATAAAAATGTACTAATCTGTACAAATGTACCAATCGAGTGACACTGCCTTAAAAATTTATGCAATTTAAAAAAAATTCTTCAAATTTCGTTAAAATTTTCAGTTTTTTAATAAGATTCTGAGTACGCAGTTGTAGTAGAATAAAGTACAAGTTTCAAATGGCTAAAAACTGCGATTGATTTTTTGGAATTTGTACGAAAGTTTGTTGAATTTTTTTTTTAATATTGCACAAATTTGGAAACTTGGATTTACACGGGTTTTGATAAAGAAATAACTATATTTTTATTAAAAAAAATAACCAAAATAAAATAACAACGAAAATAATACGTTAAAACTTGGCAAAAAGTGGTTCGGCTATAATTTTTTCACCACAGTATGTATTTTTTAATATCTTTAATTGAACATGCACATTGTACATAAAGGAAGAACACAACAAAATTAAAAAATATTTGCCTTTTTTCAAAGCTGATTTTGCCTTTTTTTAAGTTTTTAGTGCCTTAAAAGGGGGTTTAGAACACCTACAAATATTGTATAGTACCAGTCGGGCGATAGTTTTCACGTTTTCCGGAGTACCTACGAACAAAAGAAAAAAATATTTTTCGAAGTAAGTAAGTAAGTAAGTAAGTAAGTAAGTAAGTAAGTCAGTAAGTAAGTAAGTAAGTAAGTA